GGACCTCGGCTGTGCGCCCGGTGGCCCCCCTGTCATACTCACGGCCCCGCCCGCCCCGGGTTCGAGCCCGCAGCCCACCAGGCCGAGAAGAGAGGTCTCCTCCTGAGCGGCTTCGGGTCCCAACCGAGCGGGACTGGGGGCCAGACCAGGCGCCCCCACTGTACCCCCTGGAGGCCAGGCTGCTGTCCCGCGCTCGGACTTTAGGTGCCCACACCGTGCTTGCTCTCCTCGAGGAGGTAGGACAGGCTCTGCTGCGCTCACTCTACCCCTGAGGACAGCAGGGACCCTGTCAGGCCACGTGTTCCGCCTTCTCCTCTCCTTCCTCCCCTGTACTCTTTAAGGCAACAGACACTCTCCGGGGGCAATTCTGAGGGGACCAAGGCGGCTTCCCAAACCCGGCTGATGTCGCGGTGCTTTTACAGTTTTGCTGTCTGTCCAGCACACAGGAGGGTCAGGCGAACTCCTACTCATCCTCCAAGACCCTGGCTTGGTATCCCTCCTTTCCACTGCCTCTCCTTCGCCCCCCTGCTTCTCTTCCCGTGCATTTGGTTTTCCCTTTCCACCCCTCCCCCCCATGCGGAGAACAGGTATTTGTCCCAACCCACTGGGCTCGGGTTTTACAGGACAGGATTTGGCCCTGGGCACTGGGGACATCTGTTCTGCAGCCTCCCCAGCTGTGCCCTGCCGGTAACAACATTTTCACGTACACACTTCGGCGCGCATGCACACACACGCGCGCGCACACACACAACCCAGCCCCGCTGTCCAGGGCGGGGAGGTGCTGCCCAGCCGCGCCTTGTGGCTCCAGCCTCGCAGGTCCTTCCCTCTCCACGCACGCTCACTGAGAAGACCACAGCCACCTGGAGGAAAGCAGCTCCATCCTGCTCGCTGGGTCGGTGAGAACCTTCTGGAATAGCTCGAGGAGGGGCCACACACTGCGCAGACGCCGAACCCCACCGCACTGTCCGCTTCAGAGGGGTTGCTGTGGGGCTGCTGGGGGATGAGTCCTGCCTCGTGGGCTCCAGGCCCAAAGTTCAGTGCCCAGCACCACAAGAAATGATAAACACAATAAAACGGTGAGCTTGGTGCTACACAGCTTCTACCTCAGTATGTTTTTTTTTTTAAACAAAAGCAATATCTACTTTTTTAAAAGCGCCCCAGGTTACTGAGATGGGATGAAGGGAGGGTCCAGAGGAAGGATGGTGACGCGTGTGTGCTCTCTAAGGCACACCGAGACTATGTCCCTTCCAGAAAGCTAATAGAGATTCTCCACGCCCCTTCCCAGGTAAGAAGGAATTCCGGACTCCCCTGCAGCGGTCTGAGGGCGACGAACCCCTTTAGTCTTTGGCTTCATTGTAAAACTCCACGAGACCTTTGCGCTCTCTCGGTGCCCATAAGCATCCCCTCCCCTCGCCACTGGCCTCCAGGGACAGGCACAGCACTCAGCATCCCTGGGACAACGGCCCCAGGAGGGGACACTCAGGCGGCCAGCCAGGCTGCACTTCCGGTTCTGTTCCGTCTTCTTTGTCGCTGTGGGCATCGTGAACGCTGAGGTCCTCCTTCTGCAGAACTTTGTGAGTCACTGGTAGCTGACCCACATCTCTGGGGGCCGCGCGGGGCCGTGTCCCC